TGTCGGCTTAGAAGCACCAAAGGAAACAGGTTGTATACGGTACACAGCGTAGGAATATGCGCAGCATATGCCCGACTTTGTGAGACTTATTTTGCCTTGTTCGACAGCCTATCGAACTACTTCAGGAGTCGTAGTCTAGTGTCCACTAGTATATCCGATCTTGGTGGGTATTTCAACACCGCTTAACACGTGCAGTGCTCCATATGCAGCGGCAGCTACAGAACTGAAAGCGCCCGAGATCTTCATTCCAAAGAACCCGAATCATAGTGTCGTTGGAGAGAAGTACCATCATCACGATACTGCATATAGGGTTATTAACATTAAGTGTAATCTCATTCTGTCTTCAAGTCTCTTGAAAATTCGTCAAAGCTCTCAAAATAACTGAACTAATTTCAGCAGTCATACGTTAGTAGCTTCTAATGCAGTCATCAAGTTAGCAAACTGGTCAGCTACCTCCATGCTTTGGTGGTCATTGATCGAAGCGGTATTATGTGGTTGGTGGTCTGGTACAGGCGACTGTACATCGATTCATGTGAGACGACGTAAGCAGTTTTTGCAGCCTCGTTGTTCACATACTAGTACGTACTACAGTTGCGCGAGTCCCACAGTTCACAGTAACCGAGAAATCACCGTTATTAGATATGGTATTAGTTTCATCCACACATATGAAGGGATTAGTTCCCGACAATGGCAACAATTCAAATGGCATGAGTTGCTGTCTTTACCGAGTATCAGTAGTGATAAGGGAAAAAATATGAGTTACGTCGTTGGTGATTACCAGACTCTTGCATTAAAGCGCAACGGAGCAACTGACCTTCAATCTCAAGGACAATAGAAAATTGAGGAGCCATAGTGAAACAAATTGGAAAGAAAGGTGAATAGATGAAACAGAATAGCGAGGATTTCATCGAATCTACACTGATTTGTACAGCGCATACCATCCGGAAAAGTCATGGAAATGTCGTTTTCTCCTAACAGAACTCAACAGTGTGAGTGCTCGGTGGATTTATCGAAATTTGGGACTAATACGATTCTGATTATGAGAAAGGTTTCACGCCGCGGAGAAAAGTGACAGGGCCCTGCCATGGTTAAATTACATGAAACAAGTCAACTCGCTTCGACGTTCCATGGAAGTTCATTTAGTTGAAACTGAAGGACCGGACTAAAGAGCAATGCGTCGATAAGTATCCCTATCCACTGAGGTGCCGATCTGGGATGTCCTAACTCGCGCGGCTGCAGAACCCTGGTGACCAAAACAATCGGAACAAAGAGAAGTTTAGGTTTATTCATGGCGTACCGGAGTTTCAATCTTATGATGACCGTGAAGCTTAAGCTTACGATTGGGAGGAATGGCGCTACTTACCTCAGTTGCTTTCGCTCGACAACGTGATTGACAAGTCGATCACAAGAATACCCTCATCAGCAAAGTACAAACGGTGTGACCTCAAAAACAAGAAAGTTGTGCTCCGGCCCAAACACATGGCGGAAAGTGCATTTGAATCGTGACACATTTAATGTAAGACGCTTCCCTCCGACCTACGGATAAAAACGTTTAACACCAGACTCCGGATGATCGAGAGAGAGCAAAGTCACTGGTGCCTAACAGTGACTCCAATAAGTCTTAGTTTCGAAATAGGCCAATGAGTGGCACAAATAACTGTTGAAGGTATAACGACTTTCCTAATACTTACTGAAAACGGAAATTCATCTTGCGCTAATCCAACCAGCCAATATGGAGCTGTTAAAAATTCAATGCCAGCAGTTCACCGAAAACATGATTGGCTGACGCCCTCACAACGGTCGGCAAAAGCTCGCAACTGTCACATGCACCGTCAGATGCATTCTTAAGTTTCGCAGCCCTCTTCTGCAGGTATACCAGTGCTTATGGACTCTTTATCAAATTGTCCGACCTTCAATATTGGCAAGACTTGCTGTCAAAGAACCTGGTAATGACAACTGAGACCCCGGCTGAACGATGAAACCACGGAGGCGGAGATCGCTCTAACGTGCGTTTGTTCTCCTTAAAGATCGACCTCATATGGGAGATGGTGTAATTTTGTACTATTGCAGTGATCTAGGTTTCCAAGTCGTTGAAGACCAAGAACTTTAAGTAGTGGACGCACTTTGCCGCCGCCTACAATTAAGAGGTGACGAGGCATGTTTAATTGTCCTTGTATACCATCCTCATGTGTTCACTTTGCAATGGACAACCGTTTAGTTTCTGAAATGCAAATCATTCTGCATCCTTGTGGGGAAGTTTAAGTTGCATGTACTAGATATCCCGACCTCACCTAGTGAGCAGTTTAAGGCAGAACTACAAAAATTAGTCACTGGCCTACCATTCCTTAATCACGTTAGTTCTCTTACGAGATTCAGAACGGGGAACAGACCGAGCACTTTGGATCACGTTTTTACCGATGAGGAACTTGTGACCGACACAGTAACAGTGAGTAGCCACTTGGGGCTCATTGTACACGTAACACTCTTTCTCCACTACCTTTGCCAAGAGGAAGTGTTCAACAAGGATATTGAAGAGGTCCAACAGAGTAACCAAACATTTCATCCGACCACATCAAGATCACTGATGGGTCATTTATAGCGGAACCATCCCTCCCCCGATATCGCTTGGGTTGCTTTCATCAATCAGTTCAACACTTTAGTAGCAAATGAATCAGGGACTAAAGTAGGTAATACAAAAAGGTACAGTCTTTCCTGAGGACCAGGATGCGGAGTAGAATGAGGTTGAGGAATTCACGTTGGAACACATACAAATCCTATCCAAACGCCGGAATGATTTCATAACTAAGCGAAACCACTGAGTCAAACTGATCCGTGAAGATAAATTGAACCACAAAGAGGATTTGGCGAAGAAGTTCTTCTGCAATTCTAAGCTACTTTATAGACATGTTTAACAAATTCGCCAAGTACAGCGAGGCATTCCTCACCTAAACAGCACATGTGGGTAAGTGCAAAACGCCCATGAAGCAGCTAATGCTCATAGGCATCAACTCGCTTGTCCTGTCCAGGACGCGTTTGCATCTCGTAAGTTTCTCACTTAGACCGCCATCAGAACTTAGCCATAACCCGCTCCACTACCGCGGATGTGCTGAAGCGACTAATGTCACTACGCGAGCATAGTTCACCTAGTTCGGACGACTTGCTCTCCGGATTCCTTGATGCTGGTTGCCACGAGCTTGGCTGAACCAGTATCAGTTATCCCAGCGCTGTGTCGACGAGATGCAGGTCCCAAAGATGCAGAAGCGTGAAAGAGTCAACCCTATTTACCAGGCGGCAATCGTGTTGTGTCCACAAACTATCGCCCGATTACTCTTCTTCTTGTGCTTGCTAATGTCATGGAATCTGTTGCTGTAGATGCACTGTTGGGATACTTAGAAAGCTGCTATGGTATCGTGCAGGAGCAGCATGGCTTCCGTCAAAACCATGCATATACCACGAACGTTTTGTTACCCCGTGCTAACTGGACGGGATTAGTCGATACTGGAGGAGTCAACGCCGTTTACTTTGATGTATCGAAGGTATTTCATCGTCTTGAGTACCGGATACTTCTTCACAAATTACAGGGCTACGGGAACGATGAAAATATCCCAGGCTGGATTCATTCGTTCCCAAGCAAAGGACGCTTGAATTTTCGGGTTCCAAGCACCCTGTTTGATCCGATAGAGGTTCAAGGTGGCGTCCCTCAAGGCTCTGTACCAAAACCCCGGCTATTCCTAGTGTTCACAAACGACCTCGCGGGAGCCTTGCCGTCTACTCTTTGCGAACGATCTCAGGATTTGGCGTGTGCTCAAGTGAGTGGCCGGCCATACAGCATTGCAGGGTGATCTCGACAAGGCTTACGAGTCCTCGGGGCAAAAGATTTTTTCCGTTCAGCCCTGTCAAGTGCATAATAATGAGCAAACGCCGCCATAGTACCCAAAATTTCGGATGAGAGAAAAAGTACTACAGCACGCTTCTCTTGAGAGTGATCTTGGAATGCTCGTGCAGAACGATCTTGGATGTACAAAACAGGCCGAGAAGGCAGTGAAGAAAGCCAGTCAGCACTTGGGCCTTCTGAGGAGGGCGTCTGGTCAGTTTGATCCTGCCTGCTTTTCGTAAATGCTTAACGCGTACGTGAGGTCGCATATAGACTATGCCATTGAGGCGTGGCACCTCTGAAAAAAACATGACCTTACTTCTCTTGAGAATCCACAACGGAGAGCGACAAAAAAGGTTGATAGAGGACTGCACCTCCCTTACCACTTAGGATTAAAGACTCTAGGAGTTCCTAGTGAACAAGGTCGACTGCAGCTAGGTGATCTCATATTGGTGTATGTGATCATCAAAGATTCTAACCATCCATGCCTACCTTTATAGAAACAGCTACAACACCTCACTGAGAGACCACCAATGGCAACGTAGTGTAACCGGTTTTACTGCCGTCGAAACTTTTCTACATTCGTGTATCCCAGCCGTGGAACTTACTACCCCAGTCGGTCATCTCCACTACTTCATCAGCTGAATTTATCAGTCGACTTACTGGTGCAGCACACCGCCTGCATTACATGATTAAACTCAAGTTAATAGGACACGCAAAAACGTAAGCAAACTATGTGTACACGTGAAATTTGAGGCGAATCCATCGCTACGCGTATTTTGATAATCCATTTTTGGATCTCATTGTTTACTTACGGAAGGCTGTTAGACATTTGCTTTTTTTATCCCCGATAGATAAGTTGTGCCATTGCTGTCGTCAGACAAAAGATCTGTTACTGAGGTTATCCCCTACGAGAAACAACGCCTTTATCTTATGGACGAGTAAACTGCACAACTTCGCGAAGAAATTTTGTAGTGGCCAATTGCGGGTTCCCATGCGGAACGATGGTAATTGCTAATGCAGCCATGAATAGTACCTTGGTATCGTCGAGCTGACAAGATTTTCCGTAATATCGTTAAGTTTTTGGTTTCCCAGAGGCAATTAGCGTAAAACACATGTTGCATACCCGAATACATTTCCTTGTAATTTGCAAAACCTGGGGGCTCCTCCGGAATGAAGTACTCGACCCGTTCGTCTTGATAAAATCGAAACGGCTGAAAGTCATCGAATAGGAAATCGCCGAAATACTCATCCATATACGTCGTCAGTATTCGTCGATCGTAGTTGTCGATGGTTCGCCCACCGTACATCACCTGGATTTGGAGGAAACAGAAGAAACTCAGGTGCTGATCAAAACATTGTTGAAGTTTTCACTTACTTATGAGAAGTCATTGTGTAAGCAAAATGCAAAAATGGGACTTTCCAAACGCTCACCCTTATAACAGGAAAACGGACTGATAAAGCATGTGTTGAGTCCAGGAGGAAATGTGTTATCTAAGTTTAGTAGCCATATTTCACTATCTGATTGCCCAATTTATTGTTTCGTAAGTGACAGCCCATGAACGGAATCACTGAGTTCGATTTTTATGACATGTTACTTCCATATATAGGTGTTGTTCAAAAGCTATGCAATCCCCATTGTATCATATAACCAGTGTAGTCACCTCAAGCCGGGCAGAGCGGCAGCTAAACTAGTCTGCCTTACTGGTGCTTGGGACTCGCATTTTATAGTCCGTTCTCTAGTCAACTCCTGGGTTGGACTGTTTATGAGACTTGCTTTGCATCAATCGGTTCGTTGGGTCGGCTGCCGATAGAGTGCGGCCTTAACACATAAATGCCTATTTAAGTTCAGTTTACTGGGAATCGACCATAGCTGCGCACAGTAGTGTACACACAATACACCCGGAAAATCACTGTGCACCCATCTCATAAGTTTGATACCTCCTGCTAGTGTGGATCGCCCTTTGATTTGCGCGGAATACGAATCAATGGTCACTTTTTGTTTTACAGACAGGCATACTTAAGCCATGGAAAAAATCAGTGCCGAACTAGATTTGTCCATGCTCGTGAAATGGAGCGGTACCTCATACGCGGCCCAAGGTAACTAGTTGACAGAAAGCATTCATATCTGTGTTAAAGCCACGGATCCGTGACTTTCTGCATTCATCACAACGACCAGATGGGAAGTGTGAGGCGCTGCGCAGTTTGTATCTAGTAGTTGAAAACTATACCTTTATGTCATTCTACATCTGAAAGCAGGAAAATGTTTAGGCATTCGATACTGATAACAGCCATGGACATTAGGCTAGTCCGTGTAGATCATTGATGAGTGGGTGATCAACACTAGTGCATAGTGGGGATGTATTATGTTTCGAGAAGATTCATCACAGCTAGACTCGATCAGACAGCTATCATGCATCCAGGACAGCGCCAGAACGCCGTTTCATCCAACTGGGACTCGTCAGTAGCGCGCATTCACCGAATTCTGTCGGATTCGAACCCACGAGATTACTCTTACAAGTCAGTGAGTTATGGCACTGACAATCACCACGTGGCCGCTACTTCCAACCCTTCGTACCCATAACATTTGGAACAAATCGTATGCCCCTCATGCGCCAATTCAGAGCCCAGCAAAGGCACTGGAAGATTAGTGTGGGGTGAAACAGTCGCATGTCCAGACAAAGCAAGTGCTTCGAAATAATGTGACTTGACCGGTTTTGCCATATAGGTCTCTAGTAGGTGCTGCCATTTCTTTTATATATGCCTACAAACACAAGTTACTGATGCTGTGCTAAGAAACATCAGCGGGTTAGGTAAGCCGTAAGTGGTGATGAATTGCAAATGCCTCGTATACCCATGGTCATCGTAACAATACAGTCGAAAGAAAAGCGCTGCTAAATGGCACATGCGCTGTGGTGAATGGCGTCAGAGTACTCTGATTGCCTAGTAGGACCAATGCCAAACAGTTTTTGAAGAGGATCATCCCAAATGTCAGACTGCACAACCTTGTAGCTAAACGAGCCTTAACGCAGTAGAATTAGGATCGAGAGGGGAACATGTATGAATAGGGCAAGCACTTGCTACTACCGGTAGACACAGGGTAGAAGTGGCAAAGTGTTCAACCGCATGTGAGCGATGTGATGAAATAGCAGTCTAAAATCCATAAGTCGCCAATCACTCCGTTCTCAAGACGCACGTGCTTAGTGTGCATACACGAATAGGATCGATCCCACTCATGATAGCTGACCGAATGACCCAGCCGGGTATGAGTATTTGTTGACCTTTTGTTTAAATTCCCGAACTTCGCGTGTTTGCGTGCGGCAGCAACACTCAAAAGAAGGCATGCCGAGTGTAGCACATTACAGTTAATTCACAGTTTCTCGATTTGAGGTAAGCGGACATCGATAACCTTGATTAATTAAGAACACAGGCAAACGTTAAATGCTTAAGTGCACCTTTCAAAAACAAAACTGGCAGGAAATAGCTTGGTTAAGTAATCATTCAGTCCATTACCTCACCAATCAAGTATTTTATTGTGTCCCATGAAATCTCCCGCTTTGTCTCCTCTGATTTGTTCAAGGAAATTTGCAATATGCGCAGAGACACTTGAAAGTCTGAATCGGAAAAGTCGTAGCACACATTCCAGCCACATTTGCCGTAGCGCCGTCGTTCTTGTAACACGGCATGCAGGAAGATGAGAGTAAATAAGCACGGTCGATATTGCGCATGTTGACAGTTGACAAATTGCTCGTGAGAAAGCTTCCCGACCCCAGCAGCCAAATTTTGTTTCAGCCCACTCGGGGGTTCCATGACTACCTGGAAAAGCAAGCAACAACGCAAAGGTCGTTAAAGGTTTTCTCGCCGAGCCAGCGTGAATAACACAAGAGCAATCAGTTCTAGCTATTTAGTGCCTGTGCCTCGGAAGTCAAAGGATACATGGAACGAAAGCGCAAGCGTCCAACAACCGCCAGGACTCGCGACGCGATAGATGTGAGCAAATATTGTGGACCACCCGACCACAAGGGATGATAACAGCTGCTAGCAGTGACAGTGGCAAAGCGCGACTCCCCTTCACTGCTCTGAACAAAACAAACTGTGCGGAGAACACTGTGGTCCCGCCGAACCACGGCTTCTAAAGCATTCCGAATCAAACAACCTGTAACAGCATACGCAGGTTGCTTGGGATGTCGACCACAAGAGTGCAGTGTGGAGCGCCATTGGTAACGGAGAGTGAGTTTTGCTACATCCCTACAAGCTAATTGGCCTATGAGACTGTTCAAGTCCCGCATGGCTCCGCGCTCTCAGTCGCCAACTCGCAATAGTAGAGTTGGGGGGACAGATGGAATACACACTATGGAAGAGTTCAAAGAGGGCGAAGTGGCCATCCGGTGCTTACTTGGATGTCGATGACCACTTGACTGAGTCTGTTTGTAATATGCTTCATCCGTAATTAGCCCCCTATTCATCAGGATGTGATTACTACTGTGTTCGCTACGACGGACACTTGTAGCCGCAGATGATCTGAAAGAGGAAACACGCTGATTAACAGTTCATTTCCTGTATGATACCTACTGCGGCAAAATCGTCTTGAAGCCCTCTAGTGAGGTACTTTGGAGGAAAACAAAATATTAGATAAAACATCATGTTTGATTTTCTTGACCATTAGGGAAAGACACAGGATTTTGGACTGCTATAGTAAACAAATGCCTGTCCACAAGTCAAGCCAATATTTGAAAGGAAAATTGTGAATCTGTCATCAAGTTTAGGTAATTCGCGGTCTAAATAACTAGTTAGAAAGTGCGAACTGAGAAATCTAACCGACCTACCTTGAACGACCGTTGGAGGATACTAATCGGAAAATTTGACACCATTTCTGTGGTCATCCAAAGTCGAAAGTCAGGATGTGGTTTTGACAATTCATCCAGCAGAGTTTCCAATTTGGGAATGAATCGAAGCAGTAGGTGACAGTTTTGTAATAAAAGCCAGTTACCACGAGCGGAGCAGATGGTGAACATGCTTTCTGCATGCTGAACAAAGACATTACTATGTGAGCATGTATATAGAATAGTGAAACAAATTAAAAGGTGGAATTTGTCATATCTGATAGGCGACACATTGAAGCAGATGTAGGGATATGGAGGCATTGCCATAGTCCTGAGTTGAACTGGGTTCAGGAAAATTCTTATATAGGAGGCGACAAAGTAGAGGTAGTCAACATGAAGCTAGTTCACTTGGACTACAAATTGTATTAGGTTTTTAATAAAGTTATTTCGGTTTATAATGTTTAATTTAATGCACATTCCTTGGATCAAACGCAGAACTTTAGTCGAGATTACAGACATTTCAATTAACGCATTTTTACCAACGGGAAACAAGTGTATTCATCCCTGATGAATAAAATTCTGGAATTCTGGTGGCCATGAACTCGTCGAATGCGGTTTCAGCATCACATCGAGTTGTAAACATTTCTCTCAATGGAAGTTATCTGGGCAATTTAAAAGTGCTGATAAGTAGGCACAAAGTTAGGGGAATATGATGGGTGTGACAGTGTTTCATAGCCCGCTCGTTCAGCTTCTGCAGATTTGGATGCGCGACTTTCGGTCGAATGCTATTACGAAATTGGTCAGTTTCTCTCGACCAATGCCGGACAGGTGTTGAAGTTTTCAGTGCATTTCGGCAATTGGTTGACAATATTTATCCGCTGTAATGTCTTCGCCTGAATTCAGACAGATGTGATGCAACCATCCAACCGCAGACTATCAATCAAGCATAATAAGCATTTTTGGATGCAACTTCGACTTTGAGAAGTGTTGAGCTCGATCGTGATCCAGCCATTGGACAGTGCGTCGTAGAATGCCGTAAAGTATCCACGTCTCAACAAAAGTCACAATACGATCAAGAAACGAGTCACTTCTATTACGAAGTACAAGAGCAGACGATTTTATTTTATTTTAATTTTAATTTAATCTGTGCGGCACCCACTTATCAACGTTTTTCGAGATTCCAATCTCTTGTAAATGGTTGTAAAATGTCACATGCGATATTGCCATGTCAGAAACAAGAATCCGAACAGTTTTACATAAATCCGTGTCAAATAAGGCTTCTAGATGATGGTAATTCACTTCTGATGACTGCCCACTATGCACCGCATTATCAAAACCTATAGTAGACATTAGAAATGTTTGAAATCACTATTGCGTAGTATGAACTGTATTGTTCGCAGGACCAAAGTTACTGTCGATGCTACGTGCGATTCCCCTGCATTTCGAACATTTTCGAATAGGAACAAGAAAATAATATCAATTTGTTTTCTGTTCATGTTGTATTAAACGAACCGAAAAAGTATAAAAACCTGTATGTGAGCTAAATTTACACTCTGATAAAGCGAAAAATATAGGTCAGTGAGATAAGAAGTCTAAACCACTTATTAACACTTTATCCCAAAATGCACCGGTTAAAATTTAATTAGTAAAACCGCAGTATCTTTATTAACAGCATAATAAAACATAGAATGTTGGTCACATTCGGAGTACATACTAAACAGTCGGGTAACTATCGTGCCCAGAAATGTGCTAGTTTGGCTTACCAAATGTGTACGCGGTTTTTGGAGATAGACATAAGAGGTGTTTTACTTGGTAATCTGGCTGACACGAGCGTAGTAAGGACTGAAGTCAGTTGGACTAAAGGTTATCTGTTTGTATTGCGAACGTCTGGAGCACCAGCGTCCAACGTCAAAACGCGTACTTCCTATGGCAAAAGTCCAGTTTCGCATTTTTTTTCAAAAAAGTAAACACGTTACCTTTCGTTCTGTAACAGGGAAAGATTAACATTGTGGTCCACTAACAAGAGGGATACTTTGGTATGATCAGAAACTCACTCTAAGGCAGTAAATAAGCGCCTTTTGCTCTGACGTCCGATCAGCTCTGTCGAGAGGCGTGCCCATATTTTTGCGTTATTGTAAGCTGGACAGTCATAAAGGCGCCGATAAATCGCATCAACTTAATTTACCAAATCCTGAGTTACCGCGAATTCGTTTAGAACTACACAATAGTTAAAATCACCGCAACAAAAACGCACCACAATCAGCATTCATTGGACTAAATCACCACGACGTGGGCAACGGTACAGAGAGTGAGACAGAAACTCACAGATTCTTGTCCCTGTCCCATTGACAAGCTCTTTATGCGACTTGTTCCGAGTTCCAGCTGTTGAGCCAGACTAGTTAGCTGACTTTGGGGATCCGAACCAGGTTGTACAATGAGTACGATGGGCATTCCGGGACTGGTCGAAGCCAAGACATCGGCCAAGCTATTGATCGGTGGCTCCACGTATTGTTTGCCCAGTACCTTGACCACGTAGTGAACGATTGCGTTCGGAATTCGATCCATGCGCCAACACCGTATTAGACATAGGCGTGTAAAGGGGCGCAGTTTTTTGTAACGTCCTGGACACGGCAGAACTTCTGGATTTTTGGCTTCAGCCCACTGCAAATTGAAGGGATCACTGATTTGGGATGATTTGGATAGTTGCACGCACCTGTTACCTCTGTAAGGTATTGCATATGAATATCAAAACCGCATGCGTATACTCACATCCCAGTGAGAAAGGATCGATCCTCCATCCCCAGAAAACTCCCAACTGTGTCTAGTAACAAGCATAGCCCTATGTCTTGGGAAACCAAACAGAGCAGCTGAATGGTGAAATTTATTAACAACTGACAGCTCCAGGGCCATTGGGGTTGGATTACCGGCGCATGAAAATTGTATCCGTTGTTGTCACGCACACTGGGGCTTGATGCCGCAGTTCAAAGTTAAAGCTACCACATGTGACAAGCATCACATAAATAACAAGGCATAGCCGAGGTACCCAAACCCTGATTAGCGGCAATAAGCAGCGGCTATGGAGCAAACAAACGGGAGACCCATAGTGGCGGATCCAACGCACAAACTATCGTAGCACGACGCAGCAGAATGCAGCTCTTCACCGAATCTATACAGTTTAACAATGAACAATGAGTTATCACAAAAGCAAAAGCTTGACACGTCACGTAAGATGCTTGCGGGGAATACGATGAGATCAAAATATATCTGGGTCATCTACCAAACGTTTGCCGAGATGAATACTTTGATAAATAACATCAGTGTAAAATTAAAAAAAGTCTAGCGTAAATGTTCAGAAATACACTGGGGTGCAGCGATCGTTGAGGTAGGTAGTGAGAAAAGTAAAATATGGTCGCTCACTTAGGTCCATTTGATATATTAATCCTATTGAAAAGCATGCTTGGCGTAATCCACAATAGAGGAGTTTAGGTAACAAAATGTTGGGCGCTAAGAGCAACATCTAGTCGTTTCTTGAAAACATACAAGGTAGGAGAGGATACAACTGAGTCTGGGAGTGCGTTCCAGGGTTGGCAAACCCGAACGGGAAAATAATTCCGTCGACACTCTAGACGGCTATATTGTTCCTTCAACTTTAAGCAGTTATCCCTGAGCTGCGTGTCGTGCCTATTTTTCAGCAAGTGGGGGCATACGTGGTTGGGGTTACTCAGTATCTGGTACGCTAAGATGAGATCTCCGCGTAGCCTTCGATAGCGTCCGTTGAAAATTCCCAGCAACGTCAGCCTTCGGTAGTAAGAGTGATAGCGCAGACCCGTTACATTCCTTTCTTGTTCTTCGTTGTGGTGCCTCTATCGCCTCTAGGTCACGTTTCAACCAAGGTTGCCAAGCTTGGATAGCGTATTCAACATGCGGACGCACGTAGGAATTGTGCATCATTGGGGAGATTGATGGGTCAAATCTCCCTCATGTCCTTCGCAGCATGCCGACATGCTGGTTGCCACGTTTTGCAACTACCTCAGCCAGTTTTGAACAGTTGAGTTCGCTCTGTACGATCACACCAAGGTCATGTTCCTTGGAGCTGGTCTGCAATCCGTTTGTCCCAAGCAAATAGGTGTAGTGATGTCTATGGCGTAATTGTATAACGCGGCATTTGTCTACGTTGAATGGTAGAGCTTTTTGAACTGACCAGTTCGACACCGTGTTAAGATCGCACTGGGGCCGTTCGTGGTCTTCCGGTCCTCTGATCCTTCGCCATATCTTGATATCATTCGCTAAAAATAGAAAATCGGAAGCAATTGATCTCATCAAACGGTTAATGAGCACCAAGAATGCACGAGGTCCAAGCACCGAGCTTTGTGATACACTGCACACCCCATCGATTGCATCGGACAATGATTCTCGGACTCTCACTACTAGCTGTGCTTCGTGTAGGAAATTGCTAATCCAACTCAGGATTGGGTCGCCAGTGCCGTAGTTCCGTAGCTTCTGAAGAACAATTCGATGGTCTAAGCGATCAACCGCTTTAGAGAAGTCCAACTAGATAACATCAACTCCTGCTCCATCATCAACAGCTTCAGTCCAGCTATTAAGTGCAAGTAATAGGATAGTATTACACGAACGCTTTTGATGAAAGCCATGTTGCTCTGGGGCTATTAAGTTATGACTTTCCAGATACTGCATTAGCGCATCTGCGATGATTGATTCCATCAGTTTGGATAGTACATGCAGTAGTGTTATTGGACGGTAGTTGGTAGGGTCAATGTGGCTACCTCGTTTATGGATAGGAGTGATGACCCCTTGTTTCCATACTGGTGGAATATGGTTCTCTTCTAGACATCGCTGATAGAAAACAGCCAGTGGTTCTGCTAGATCACTAGCTACCACCTGCAGAGTCTTTGGTCGGAGGTTGTCGACTCCAGGAGAATTGTGGATACGCAAAGATAATAACTTCTTCAACACAGCTTCCGCAGTGAAGGTGATGTTGTTTAAACCCGATGATGGAGTAATAGAAACGAGGAGAACATTTGGGCTCGTTACCTTCTGGAAAGTTTGGGAGTAATGAAGCCGTAGGAGATCAGCTGCTTCCATTGCTCATCGCGTGCATCCATCAGCCGTGACTAGTGCTGGAATCCCCCGCATCACCTTTCGAGGGCCGTTAACGTGCCTGTATAGAAGTTTGCAGTTAGTGCAGAATCGCTTCAGTAACTCCTGCTGATGCGTGACCTTGTCTTCGCGGAGCAGTTTCACACGGAAGTTACGATGCATCACGTATGCAGTCCAGGTTTCGGCATTCGAGCAGTACTGGTGAGCTCGCCATGCCAAATCCCTCCGGAACGTACATTTACGTGTTCTGCTCCTTAGAAATGACTTATGCTTTTTTGGGTTGGAAGGACTTCTGTTCCGATGCGTGCGCTACCAGTGCGTTAAACGCCCTTATAAAGGTCTTGCAGGCAACGTCTGTGGGGCATTCGGTTAAGAAAGTCCAAGATGTAGCCTTATCAAGCGTCGATAACACCTTATAGTGAGTGACAGTATGCACTTTATCACCCTCCTTTTTAGGATACTCCGCACAGCATATGTGATCAAATAGTAGAGTAGCATGGTCACTACGACCCAGTGGTGTGCTTGTAACTATCCTGTCAACCATGAGTTCTTCGTTAGTGAGCACAGGGTCCAGTATCGACGGCTTGTTAGCAGTTCGCAATCTGGTAGGGGAGGTTACGTGGTTGTACAGAGGGTGGCTAACAATTAGCCTTTGCAAGCAGGCTATAAACTGCGTAACGTCGCTTGCCGGTGTTTTTATGTCGTGCACGTTAAAGTCTCCAGCAATAAGAATGTGAATGTAGGACTTGTTCAAAGCAAACTGAAAAACGTGGTTCAGTTTGGAATCCATTTCAGACGTTGAGTTTAGTGGGCGATAAATCACGGCTGCTAGACATGTGTCTTTGTTTCGCAACCATAGGCGATACGAAAGCGAATCAGGAGCTCGGATTTCCGGGTGATCGATAACTTCACATCGGAGGTTTTTAGTATACTAAGGAATCACACCACCACCCCTTCCGGTTCTATCCGTCCGAAGAAGCGACATACCGGGTAAATTGATCTCAGAATCGGTTTTCTCAAGTTTTAACCAGGTCGCTGTAATCATGACGAGGTCCCGCGGTTGTGAGGCATGGAGTTCTCTAACTTCGGCCAACTTTCTTAAAAGGCCTTGGGCGTTTGTGTACATGCAAGATAGGGCTTTTGTTGTTGGGAGTGCGTTGATGCATGTCAACTTTGTGTTAGTTTTTAAGCCGGCCGTTAGGCGGCCGGTCGTTAATCGTTTTTTGTTTACGATTTGCAGTCAAGTTGCATGGCATTATTGAGCGTTCCTGAACAGACGTTTCACTCATGCTGTGCTCTCACTTGTTGCGTGTCGTGGGTGCTGTTGTGCCGGTCTCTCAGCAAGACTGTGCAGATAAATAATTTGCCGCATTTGCAAGTTCCATCGAATTGCTTACGACTTTTGGCCGTTTGCCTGCTGCCTTTAGCCGGATCTCTGTTGGCAAACTAGCTCGGAACTTTAACCAGCTATCCAGCAGAACTTGCGTCATTCTCTCGGAGCGTAATATTACTTTCATTATTCTTGGAGCGCAGCCCTTGTAGTTAGGTGATGACTGAACTCTTGTCAAGGATTTGGCAATAACATTGTCAACAGAGAGTTTCGCGGATGTACCACCACTGTTCTCAGTCATGTGTTTGCGCACCGTTATCAGAAAATTGCAGAAGCTCGGGAACACCATGGACAAATAGTGTTTCCTAGCTATCGCTATTAGGAATTCCGCGTTGGTCACCTGTTTCTTTTGGGCTATCTTTCCAACGTAGATCAGGTAATATGCGCACTCCGCTCGGTGAGTTGCGAAGACGAACTGCTGAGAGCAGGATAGCCTCTGTTTCATCTGCTGAGTCTAGTGTTACTCGAAGAAATCGACGTTAACCAGAGTGCACGGCGGTCGGGCGACGCGCTACTCGTTGCAGCATTGCAGGCTCAACCCGAATACCAATCGCATCGCAGATGGAACTCCACTGGTTGCGATCGTCTTGCCACTTGCCTTTTATTGTGTCAGATTTGGATTCGGGAACATTGGTGCACACAAGATTTAACGCAGCGTGGTTTTGTCTAGCGAGTGTTGGCGTTGTAGTTTTTGCTGGCAATTTGGGTTGTTTAGAAGGCACCACTGGATTTGATGGTGAAAGCGGCATTTCTCCGTATGTGGTCGGTACAGAAGATGGACCTACGTGTATCGCTTCCGGTGTGTTTGTCGAGGTAATCGATGCGTACCTTACCTGCTTGTTATCTGCACCGGATTACTTTCGGCCCTGAGCCGTCGGTGTCACGGCTGAATCTCCAAGTGAAGCGTCTATGGTTGGAGAAGTGGAAGCAGGCATGCTTGAGGCTTGTCTTCTTATGGTAGTGAGGTGACCCAGTGTATTCAGAGACGCAGATGCTGCAGTGCGGTTGGAGCGTCTAGCTCTCTTCTTCGGCTTAGATTCGGAGCTTACTTTGGCTGGGTGAGGTATTATCCTGGCCATATTTACCTCCGTGGGCTCGCTCGTAGTTTTTACGAAATGCGCGATTATCTCAGTCATTCTATCGCACTTTTTCA